AACTGAAGTTTAAAACAGACACTGGAGGGACTTTTAAAGGTTGACTTCAAACAAAACCTAAAGGGTACCCTGATGCAAACACTTCACAGATTTAAGTAGAGTAACCAGATATCTGAAGGGTACCTAAAGACAGAAGTAGAGTAACCAGATATCTGAAGCAAACCTAAAGACAGAAGTAGAGTAACCAGATATCTGAAGGGTACCTAAAGACAGAAGTAGAGCAAACAGATATCTGACGGGTACCTAAAGACAGAAGTAAAGTAACCAGATATCTGAAGGGTACCTAAAGACAGAAGTAGAGTAACCAGATATCTGAAGGGTACAGAAGTAGAGTAACCAGATATCTGAAGGGTACCTAAAGACAGAAGTAGAGTAACCAGATATCTGAAGGGTGCCTAAAGACAGAAGTAGAGTAACCAGATATCTGAAGGGTACAGAAGTAGAGTAACCAGATATCTGAAGGGTACAGAAGTAGAGTAACCAGATATCTGAAGCGAACCTAAAGACAGAAGTAGAGTAACCAGATATCTGAAGGGTACCTAAAGACAGAAGTAGAGTAACCAGATATCTGAAGCGAACCTAAAGACAGAAGTAGAGTAACCAGATATCTGAAGGGTACCTAAAGACAGAAGTATAGTAACCAGATATCTGAAGGGTACCTAAAGACAGAAGTAGAGTAACCAGATATCTGAAGGGTACAGAAGTAGAGTAACCAGATATCTGAAGGGTACCTAAAGACAGAAGTATAGTAACCAGATATCTGAAGGGTACAGAAGTAGAGTAACCAGATATCTGAAGCGAACCTAAAGACAGAAGTAGATTAACCAGATATCTGAAGGGTACCTAAAGACAGAAGTAGAGTAACCAGATATCTGAAGCGAACCTAAAGACAGAAGTAGAGTAACCAGATATCTGAAGGGTACCTAAAGACAGAAGTATAGTAACCAGATATCTGAAGGGTACCTAAAGACAGAAGTAGAGTAACCAGATATCTGAAGGGTACAGAAGTAGAGTAACCAGATATCTGAAGCGAACCTAAAGACAGAAGTAGAGTAACCAGATATCTGAAGGGTACCTAAAGACAGAAGTAGAGTAACCAGATATCTGAAGGGTACCTAAAGACAGAAGTAGAGTAACCAGATATCTGAAGGGTACAGAAGTAGAGTAACCAGATATCTGAAGCGAACCTAAAGACAGAAGTAAAGTAACCAGATATCTGAAGGGTACCTAAAGACAGAAGTAGAGTAACCAGATATCTGAAGGGTACAGAAGTAGAGTAACCAGATATCTGAAGCGAACCTAAAGACAGAAGTAAAGTAACCAGATATCTGAAGGGTACCTAAAGACAGAAGTAGAGTAACCAGATATCTGAAGGGTACCTAAAGACAGAAGTAGAGTAACCAGATATCTGAAGGGTACAGAAGTAGAGTAACCAGATATCTGAAGGGTACCTAAAGACAGAAGTAGAGTAACCAGATATCTGAAGCGAACCTAAAGACAGAAGTAGAGTAACCAGATATCTGAAGGGTACAGAAGTAGAGTAACCAGATATCTGAAGGGTACAGAAGTAGAGTAACCAGATATCTGAAGGGTACAGAAGTAGAGTAACCAGATATCTGAAGCGAACCTAAAGACAGAAGTAGAGTAACCAGATATCTGAAGGTACCTAAAGACAGAAGTAGAGTAACCAGATATCTGAAGGGTACAGAAGTAGAGTAACCAGATATCTGAAGGGTACAGAAGTAGAGTAACCAGATATCTGAAGGGTACAGAAGTAGAGTAACCAGATATCTGAAGCGAACCTAAAGACAGAAGTAGAGTAACCAGATATCTGAAGGGTACCTAAAGACAGAAGTAGAGTAACCAGATATCTGAAGGGTACAGAAGTAGAGTAACCAGATATCTGAAGGGTACCTAAAGACAGAAGTAGAGTAACCAGATATCTGAAGGGTACAGAAGTAGAGTAACCAGATATCTGAAGCGAACCTAAAGACAGAAGTAGAGTAACCAGATATCTGAAGCGAACCTAAAGACAGAAGTAGAGTAACCAGATATCTGAAGGGTACCTAAAGACAGAAGTATAGTAACCAGATATCTGAAGGGTACCTAAAGACAGAAGTAGAGTAACCAGATATCTGAAGGGTACAGAAGTAGAGTAACCAGATATCTGAAGCGAACCTAAAGACAGAAGTAGAGTAACCAGATATCTGAAGGGTACCTAAAGACAGAAGTAGAGTAACCAGATATCTGAAGGGTACCTAAAGACAGAAGTATAGTAACCAGATATCTGAAGGGTACCTAAAGACAGAAGTAGAGTAACCAGATATCTGAAGGGTACAGAAGTAGAGTAACCAGATATCTGAAGCGAACCTAAAGACAGAAGTAGAGTAACCAGATATCTGAAGGGTACCTAAAGACAGAAGTAGAGTAACCAGATATCTGAAGGGTACCTAAAGACAGAAGTAGAGTAACCAGATATCTGAAGGGTACAGAAGTAGAGTAACCAGATATCTGAAGCGAACCTAAAGACAGAAGTAAAGTAACCAGATATCTGAAGGGTACCTAAAGACAGAAGTAGAGTAACCAGATATCTGAAGGGTACAGAAGTAGAGTAACCAGATATCTGAAGCGAACCTAAAGACAGAAGTAAAGTAACCAGATATCTGAAGGGTACCTAAAGACAGAAGTAGAGTAACCAGATATCTGAAGGGTACCTAAAGACAGAAGTAGAGTAACCAGATATCTGAAGGGTACAGAAGTAGAGTAACCAGATATCTGAAGGGTACCTAAAGACAGAAGTAGAGTAACCAGATATCTGAAGCGAACCTAAAGACAGAAGTAGAGTAACCAGATATCTGAAGGGTACAGAAGTAGAGTAACCAGATATCTGAAGGGTACAGAAGTAGAGTAACCAGATATCTGAAGCGAACCTAAAGACAGAAGTAGAGTAACCAGATATCTGAAGGGTACCTAAAGACAGAAGTAGAGTAACCAGATATCTGAAGGGTACAGAAGTAGAGTAACCAGATATCTGAAGGGTACCTAAAGACAGAAGTAGAGTAACCAGATATCTGAAGGGTACAGAAGTAGAGTAACCAGATATCTGAAGCGAACCTAAAGACAGAAGTAGAGTAACCAGATATCTGAAGCGAACCTAAAGACAGAAGTAGAGTAACCAGATATCTGACGGTGTTTCAATGAAACTAAAGGGTTCCTTAACACAGAGCACAGCTCGTCTGTAAACGACGTCTCTTTGACAGTCGTCCTGTTTTGTAGTTTTTCTCTTTAAATCACTCTGATCTTTATTTAAATGTGTAAAAGAAACAAACCTCATAAAGTGTCCGTTCCTATAAATAAACCACGACAGAGATCTTTAGTCTGTCATTGGCTGAGAGTCTACAGCCTCACATACAGTGTGAGGATCATAACAGTCTGTAAGATGTGACTCAGCACTTTTTCTCTCCATCCGTCTCCTTCGTCACGTCCTTTTAATCTTCTCTCCATCGCCGCCTTCCTCCATCTCTCACGTTAACTGATGCTGACACCACCGCACAACTGCTGCTGTAAATAACTCTCTCTCTCTCTCCGTCTACTAGGAGGTCGAGTTACGTGGTCACCACAAAGATCTACTGGGGCGGACAGTGAGTGTTTAACCTATCGCCACGAGTCTCTTGACTGTGTTTGCTGACATGCATGTGTGGTAAAGTGTGAGTTTGTGTGTTCGCAGGGCGGAGACAGAGCGAGGGTTGTCACGGAAACACATCATCGAAGGTAAACAAAAACAAACATGTCAGCTTCCTCGTTTGTCTCATCATAACATGAAGAGTACAAATCCTAACGTCATTAATTGTTGGGGTTTTTTTTGTATTTATGTGGTGGCCATCTTGTTTCTTTTTGAGCAGGAAGTGACCATATTTGGACAAGAGGATGGAGCTCCGCCCTCTTGTCCAACTATGGTCACTTCTGGCTCAAAAAGAAGCAGCCAACTCCTCAGAGTGTCTTAAGCCAGGGGTTGAACAAGACGAGAACGAGATTTTGATAGGTCGCCATGGTGACAACATGTCAATCCTTGTAAGCCCCGCCCCTAACTACCTCCGCCCTGCTTTATTGGGACTGAAACTTTAAAACATTAAATCCCAGGCTCCTTTTTTTTTTATTTATTTTTTTTACAGAAAGTTGTTTAAAGCGTCTTCTGGAGGTTATCATACAACCGTTGTCATCAGACTGTTGTCATGGAGACTGTTGTCATGGAGACAGGACGGACTAGCAGAGCTTTTCTTCCATGAAAAAAGCGCGACATGGACACGAGGCCTGAGGTTTTAAATGATCTTGTTGTATGATTATGAAAGGTTCCTGAAGAGGTTTTAAAGGTTATGACGTCTCAGAGCGCCAAGCCAAAGTTGGCGTCCTATCTGAAAGGGCCTGAACAGAGGACTTGTTGTGACTGCCTCGTCTAACCTTTGACCTGACACAGATTGTTGACAGATTGACGCTATGTCGTCTCTGAACTCGATTGGAGGATTTCTGGAGTGTTTTTATTTTTTAAGCTTGCAGCCAATCAGGACGTTACGATCCCTAAGAGGAGCCGCCATCATGGAGGGGACGCGGCGATAATAAAACAGTCCCATCGTTCACCGTGATAATTAACTGATACAGAAACATTCAAGGAACAAAGAGAGAGAGAGAGTCCAGGAGGCAAATCATATCTATGTTTCAAAATAAAACAAAAACAAAACGATTTGACTTTTTATAAATAATATCAGATAAATAATTATAATAAATAAAATACTCATAAGTGTTGAAATGAGATTTAACTGATGCTTCTGATGCTGCAGCCTCAGATCTTCACACTCACTTCAACACAGACACCCAGCGAGTGAGGAGTGATTAGAGCGAGAGTGAAGATCCACACACTAATTACACACACAGACACACACACACACACACACACACACACACACACACACACACACACACACACACACTCAGAGAGAGAGTCGGTCAGTGTCCTCTGTCAGTTGTCGGAGGTCGTCGAGGCTTTAAGAGGCTCAGTCACACCAATACTGGATTAGGAGTTTTACACACTCACATAGTAACACACACACATACACAGTGACACACAGTGACACACAGTGACACACACACACACACACACACACACACACAGAAAGATGAGCGTGCAGCATCAATCATCCGTCCTGCTGAAAGCTGCTAACAGCTCTGTTGACTTAAATCATTCTGTGAAATGCTAAACGCTAAATTTAAACCACAGAGAGTCTCTGAAACATCTGCAGCACACCCCATCGTTTATTAGATCATTCTATAGCGCTTTATTTTCAAAGGTTTGGACTGATAACTTGTACTACACATGATGTTTACTGTAAAAGCAGAAACCTCAGGACTGTCCAATTTTACAGCTGCAGTTCCTCCAGTGTCCACTAGAGTCTGTCTCCTGCAGTGAGTCAGTCCTCATAGAGCTCCATGTTAAAATGTCTAACTTTACAGCTGCAGTTCCTCCAGTGTCCACTAGAGTCTGTCTCCTGCAGTGAGTCAGTCCTCATAGAGCTCTATGTTAAAATGTCTAACTTTACAGCTGCAGTTCCTCCAGTGTCCACTAGAGTCTGTCTCCTGCAGTGAGTCAGTCCTCATAGAGCTCTATGTTAAAATGTCTAACTTTACAGCTGCAGTTCCTCCAGTGTCCACGAGAGTCTGTCTCCTGCAGTGAGTCAGTCCTCATAGAGCTCTATGTTAAAATGTCTAACTTTACAGCTGCAGTTCCTCCAGTGTCCACTAGAGTCTGTCTCCTGCAGTGAGTCAGTCCTCATAGAGCTCTATGTTAAAATGTCTAACTTTACAGCTGCAGTTCCTCCAGTGTCCACTAGAGTCTGTCTCCTGCAGTGAGTCAGTCCTCATAGAGCTCCATGTTAAAATGTCTAACTTTACAGCTGCAGTTCCTCCAGTGTCCACTAGAGTCTGTCTCCTGCAGTGAGTCAGTCCTCATAGAGCTCTATGTTAAAATGTCTAACTTTACAGCTGCAGTTCCTCCAGTGTCCACTAGAGTCTGTCTCCTGCAGTGAGTCAGTCCTCATAGAGCTCTATGTTAAAATGTCTAACTTTACAGCTGCAGTTCCTCCAGTGTCCACTAGAGTCTGTCTCCTGCAGTGAGTCAGTCCTCATAGAGCTCCATGTTAAAATGTCTAACTTTACAGCTGCAGTTCCTCCAGTGTCCACTAGAGTCTGTATTTTCAAGTTCATGTATGAAGACGTGTAAGCAGGAGTGTGTGTTCACTGGGACTGTGTGATGCGTTTAGGTCTGCGTCTCGTAACCCCGTCAGTCCTTTTGATCTCCAGCACAAACTGTCGTCCTTCACCGGGTCGACTGAACGTCCCGGTGACAGAGCTGTCAGCACAAGACAACACAAACAAAACACAACTATATTTAGCTAAAACAACAATGTACACACACACACACACACACACACACACACACACACACACACACAGATGGGCCTTCCTGTCAGCAGCTCAGAAACAAACAGTGATGAAGAGTTCCTCTCAGTAAGGATCAAACATGTTTCAGGTTCAGAGTGACGCCTCTGTTCACGTCCCTGCAGAGTTACACTTTATCGTCTTTTATTATCTTTGGTAAACACAAAACACATAAAACACAATCACAGCTTAGAGGAACACATTAACTCACACCTGCACTTCTTTGGGATCTTTAAATGGTCATTTTGGTCCTTAGTCGTCGCCCAAATGACAAGAGGAACTTTTCGTCTCTGTAGTTTTCCTTTTGTCTTTTTTTGTAGTTTCATACATTTTTGTAGTTTTTCTTTTGATTTTGTGTAGTTTTATATCTTTTTGTAGTTTTTCTTTTGTCTTTTTTGTAGTTTTTCGTTTGTCTCTTTTTGTAGTTTTATGTTTTTGTAGTTTTTCTGTTGTCTCTTTTTGTCGTTTCATACATTTTTATGGTTTTTCTTTTGATTTTGTGTAGTTTTATATCTTTTTGTAGTTTTTCTTTTGTCTTTTTTGTAGTTTTTCGTTTGTCTCTTTTTGTAGTTTTATGTTTTTGTAGTTTTTCTTTTGTCTCTTTTTGTTGTTTTATATCTTTTTGTCGTTATTCTTTTGTCTCTTTTTGTCGTTATATTTTTTTGTAGTTTTTCTTTTGTCTTTTTTGTAGTTTCATACATTTTGTAGTTTTTTTTGTCTTTTTTGTAGTTTTATATCTTTTTGTAGTTTGTCTTTTGTCTTTTTTGTAGTTTCATGTATTTTGTAGTTTTTCATTTGTCTCTTTTTGTAGTTTTATGTTTTTGTAGTTTTTCTGTTGTCTCTTTTTGTAGTTTCATACATTTTTGTAGTTTTTCTTTTGTCTTTTATGTAGTTTTATATCTTGTAGTTTTTCTTTAGTCTTTTTTGTAGTTTCATACATTTTTGTAGTTTTTCTATTGTCTTTTTTGTAGTTTTATATTTTTTTGTAGTTTTTCTTTTGTCTTTTTTGTAGTTTCATTTTGCACCTGTCTGTGGTAGTTTTGCGTCTCTGTCATAGATCTGTAGGGGTTTTGTGTACATTTGTAATCGTTTTGCAGTTTTTGTTGCAGTGCCGTGTCTTATTGTGAAAGTCGTATTCTGGACGTGTACGTGAGTTCACCTCCAGCTCAAGTCTCATCTCATGTCTGTTTTTTGTCCTACGGAGGCCCCTGAGGCTCAAACAAGACGGACATGATTGACAGCTGCCGTTTGTGTTTTCAGGTGTTTGACTCCTGTCCTTCAGCGCTGAAAATAAAACTGCTTATTATTATTTCATTAAGCCGGCTTTGTGTGTGTGTGTGTGTGTGTGTGTGTGTGTGTGTGTGTGTGTGTGTGTGTGTGTGTGTGTGTGTGTGTGTGTGTGTGTGTGTGTTGCAGGTCTGCGTGGATCTCTGTCCAGGTTACAGCTGGACTATGTGGACATCGTCTTTGCTAACAGGAGTGACATCAACGCACCGATGGAGGGTAAGACACACACACACACACAACACACACACACACACACACACACACACACGCACACGCACGAACACACACACACACACACACACACACACACAAACGCATACACACACACACACACACACCAACACATACACACAACACGCACACACACACAAACGCATACAGACACACACACACACACAAATACACACACACACACACACACCACACCAACACATACAGACACACACACACACACACACATACACACGCACACACTAACACATACACACACACACACACACACACACACACACACAAACGCACACACAGATAGACTCTGTTTCTTCTTCATGGTCTCTGAGTTTACCTGGTTGAACAGTTTAGAACAGCTTCTTCACATTTTTTGTTTGTGTGTGTGTGTGTGTGTGTGTGTGTCTGTGTGTGTGTGTGTGCGTGCGTGCGTGCGTGCGTGTGTGTGTGTGTCTGTGTGTGTGTGTATCTGTGTGTGTGTCTGTGTGTGTGTGTGTGTCTGTGTGTGTGTCTGTGTCTGTGTGTGTGTGTATCTCTCTGTGTGTGTGTATCTCTGTGTGTGTGTGTGTGTCTGTGTGGTGTGTGTGTGTGTGTGTGTGTGGTGTGTGTGTGTGTGTGTGTATGTGTGTCTCAGAGGTGGTCCGAGCGATGACCTTTGTGATCGATCAGGGGATGGCCATGTACTGGGGAACGTCCCGCTGGAACGCTGTGGAGATCATGGTACTGCAAACAGAACATCAGGGAACATGAATAAATCATAACACATGAAGAGAACCCTAATGCCTGTCTGTCTGTCTGTCTACCTGTCTGTCTCTACCTGTCTGTCTGTCGCTCTACCTGTCTGTCTGTCTGTCTGTCTCTACCTGTCTGTCTGTCTACCTGTCTCTCTCTACCTGTCTGTCTGTCGCTCTACCTGTCTGTCTGTCTGTCTGTCTCTCTACGTGTCTGTCTCTCTACCTATCTGTCTGTCTGTCTGTCTGTCTGTCTACCTGTCTGTCTGTCTGTCTGTCTGTCTGTCTTTCGACCTGTCTGTCTGTCTACCTGTCTGTCTCTCTGTAGGAGGCGTACTCTATAGCTCGTCAGTTTAATCTGGTTCCTCCAGTGTGTGAGCAGGCAGAGTATCATTACTTCCAGAGAGACAAAGTGGAACTCCACCTGCCAGAGCTCTACCACAAGATAGGTACTACACACAGTACACACAGTACACACAGTACACACAGTACACACTACACACACTACATACACTACACACAGTACACACAGTGCACACACTACACACAGTACACACAGTACACACTACACACAGTACACACAGTACACACTACACACACTACACACACTACACACACTACACACACTACACACTACACACAGTACACACAGTACACACTACACACAGTACACACACTACACACACTACACACAGTACACACAGTACACACTACACACACTACACACAGTACACACAGTACACTACACACACTACACACAGTACACACAGTACACACTACACACAGTACATACACTACACACTACACACACTACACACAGTACACACAGTACACACAGTACACACTACACACACTACAAACACTACACACTACACACAGTACACACACTACACAGAGTACACACAGTACACACTACACACACTACAAACACTACACACTACACACAGTACACACACTACACAGAGTACACACAGTACACACACTACACAGAGTACACACAGTACACACTACACACAGTACACACACTACACAGAGTACACACAGTACACACTACACAGTACACACACTACACACAGTACACACAGTACACACTACACACACTACAAACACTACACACAGTACACACACTACACAGAGTACACACAGTACACACACTACACACACTACAAACACTACAAACACTACACACTACACACAATACACACACTACACAGAGTACACACAGTACACACTACACACACTACAAACACTACACACTACACACAGTACACACACTACACACAGTACACACAGTACACACTACACACAGTACACACTACACACAGTACACACTACACACAGTACACACAGTACACACTACACACACTACACACTACACACACTACACACAGTACACACAGTACACACTACACACTACACACACTACACACAGTACACACAGTACACACTACACACTACACACAGTACACACAGTACACACTACACACAGTACACACAGTACACACTACACACACTACAAACACTACACACACTACACACAGTAAACACACAGTACACACTACACACAGTACACACTACACACACTACAAACACTACACACAGTACACACACTACACACAGTACACACAGTACACACAGTACACACTACACACACTACACACTACACACAGTACACACTACACACAGTAAACACACAGTACACACAGTACACACACTACACACTACACACACTACACACTGCACACAGTAAACACACAGTACACACAGTACACACAGTACACACTACACACAGTACACACTACACACACTACACACTACACACACTACACACAGTACACACTACACACACTACAAACACTACACACACTACACACAGTACACACAGTACACACAGTACACACTACACACAGTACACACACTACACACTACACACAGTACACGCAGTACACACTACACACACTACACACACGACACACAGTAAACACACAGTACACACAGTACACACTACACACAGTACACACTACACACAGTAAACACACAGTACACACACTACACACACTACACACTACACACACTACACACAGTACACACTACACACAGTACACACTACACACAGTACACACTACACACAGTAAACACACAGTACACACACACACAGTACACACAGTACACACTACACACAGTACACACTACATACACTACACACAGTACACACAGTACACACTACACACACAGTACACACAGTACACACTACACACAGTACACACAGTACACACTACACACACTACACACTACACACACTACAAACACTACACACACTACACACACTACACACACTACACACAGTACACACAGTACACACTACACACTACACACTACACACAGTACACACTACACACACTACAAACACTACACACAGTACACACACTACACACAGTACACACAGTACACACAGTACACACTACACACAGTACACACACTACACACACTACACACAGTACACACTACACACAGTACACACTACCACTACACACTACACACAGTACACACACTACACACACTACACACAGTACACACAGTACACACTACACACAGTACACACTACACACAATAAACACACAGTACACACAGTACACACAGTACACACTACACACACTACACACTACACACAGTACACACTACACACAGTAAACACACAGTACACACACTACACACAGTACACACACTACACACAGTACACACACTACACACTACACACTACACACAGTAAACACACAGTACACACTACACACTACACACAGTACACACAGTACACACTACACACACTACACACAGTACACACAGTACACACACTACACACAGTACACACTACACACACTACACACAGTACACACTACACACACTACACACACTACACACAGTACACACAGTACACACAGTACACACACTACACACAGTACACACAGTACACACTACACACAGTACACACAGTAAACACACAGTACACACAGTACACACTACACACAGTAAACACACACACACACTACACACACTATACACAGACTACACAACATGTACACACATACTACACACACACACAGTACACACACTACACAACATGTACACACACACTACACGCACTACACACAGTACACACACTACACACAGTACACACACTACACACAGTACACACACTACACAACATGTACACACACACTACACGCACTACACACAGTACACACACTACACACAGTACACACACTACACACTACACACAGTACACACAGTACACACAGTACACACTACACACACTACACACAGTACACACACTACACACTACACACAGTACACACACTACACACAGTACACACACTACACACACTACACACAGTACACACACTACACACACAGTACACACACTACACACACTACACACACTACACACAGTACACACACAGTACACACACTACACAACATGTACACACACTACACAACCTGTACACACACTACACACACTACACAACATGTACACACACTACACAACATGTACACACACTACACACACTACACAACATGTACACACACTACACAACATGTACACAAACTACACAACATGTACACACACTACACATGTACACACACTACACAACATGTACACAAACTACACAACATGTACACACACTACACAACATGTATTTGTTTATGTCTTTTGATGCAGCTAACAGTTAGCAGTGGTAGTGCTAAGCTAAGCTAACACATCCTAGTCCAGCTTCATGAAGGATTCAAAGTGGTACTGTGTCTTTAAATGATGGTGGACAGTCAGACCCAGCTGAGGTCTGCAGGGACAGCAGCTGTTCAGGTCCTGGTCTAAATATAGACTGGGTCATAGAGGTGGTCCAACATGAGGCTTGTGTCCCCCTCAGGCGTCGGAGCCATGACCTGGTCCCCGTTAGCCTGCGGCCTGCTGACAGGGAAGTACAACGAGGGAGTCCCTGAGAGCTCCAGAGCTGGCCTGAAGGTCCTAACACACACACACACACACACACACACACACCACAACACACACACACACAACACACGCACACACACACACACACACACGCACATACGCACACACACACACGCGTGCACACGCGCACACGCACACGCACACACACGCACACACACATCGTGCACACGCGCGCACACACACACGCATGCACACACGCACACACACAGCGTTATTGATCACCACGGTAACAGATAGTCTGTCATCCTGCAGGACTGACAGTTGTGGATAGATGGTGTGTATGGTGTTTGTGCACCACTTTATTGAGGAGTGTGTGTTTAAGTCTGTATGTATGCTGTGTGTGTGTGTGTGTGTGTGTGTGTGTGTGTGTGTGTGTGTGTGTGTGTGTGTGGTGTGTGTGCGCAGGGCTACGCGTGGCTGAAGGAGCGTCTCTGCAGTGATGAAGGAAGAAAGCAGCTCAGTAAATCAAAGAGCTCCACCTGCTGGCCACACAAACTGAAGTGCACGGCTGCTCAGCTGGCTATAGGTACACCGTGTGTGTGTGTGTGTGTGTGTGTGTGTGTGTGTGTGTGTGTGTGTGTGTGTGTGTGTGTGTGTGTGTGTGTGTGTGTGTGTGTGTGTGTGTGTGTG